CCAATACCGCAAAGTAAAATAGTACTTTCTAAAATAAATAGCTAATGTTAAGACAATGCCAGGTTTTAATACACCATTTATTTTAGATAAGGTAGTAAAACTGTACAGATTTCTAGTATGTTTTCTTTTTTTCATATATAACAGTGTAGTTGGACTTACCAATCCTCAAGACTCTTTAGAGGAGATCCACTGAATTAGCCTTCCAATACTTTTGAGGATCTGGGCCTAAGTATAATTTGTGTAATCATTCTATCTGATGACGGACATCAGATGTTTCATACAGTTGGGGTTTTTTAAACACCAAATGGAGTAATACTAGTTTACGTTACAGCAAGTCAGCATACATCAGTTATGTTATAGCACTTGTCATCTGTAAAATGTAAAAAACTGTCTGACCATACCAGTTGGCTCCTACAGCACAATACAAATTCAATTTTTAAAGTCCCCTTCAAAAGCATACTCCTGATCTTCAGCCCATTCTAGCCTAAATAAAACCACTGCACATCAGCGCAATAAGGTTATAAGATTCACGGTTCTTTTGGGGACAGAAGTTGAACCATTCCAAGTACAAGCGGCAGCAGAGAACAGGCTTACGCAACTTCTGTGCTTACGCAGCCCTGATCTTAACTATCAGACTGCGGCGGGTTCGTACAGGTCCTTAGCTGGATTTTCTTAACAAAACTGGAGAGCTGAAAATGAGATTACCTTAGCAGGCAAACTTCAGCCCAAGCCAGTCAATCACGAGCGAGCAACTGAGATGGTGAGTCAGTGTGTTCCTCTAAAAATACCTGAAGTATTTAGCCAAGTTTCTGTCAAAGACCAGAAGACAAACATGAGGTAAATGTAGACAAGCTTAATTTGAGAGAATTACTGAATTTAGAAGACTGCAAACAATTAGTTGTATATTCATAAGGAAAAAATGCTAGAGTGCAGGATTTCTGAAGCATTTACTGTCACAAGGTACATCTTTTAAATGAAATCTGTGCACAGTTCGAACAGCCTAAATACGAAATTTTGAGTGAAATTTCTTACTTTCATTACATGAAGCCAACTATTTCTGTAGTATTTTATTAATCCAACCTGATGGGTTTTATGTTCCTTACCTGTAGAACTACTTACCTCATCATGCATCAAAATAATAACAAGAGTCATCTTAAATAGATCAACTTCCAGTAAGAAAGTTAAGACAGTGCACAGTAAATAAACTGTATTTTAATGTGTTACAAAAGTAGTTAATAGCCAGACGACCTCCCCAAATAGATGCCCACTACTGCTAGGTTTGACAGAGATTTCTTGCAAATAGCTTGAGATAAAACAGCTTTTCACCTTATTTGTTTTTCTGTCTCTATTGTTTTGTAGCACAAATACCATATACATCCATGGTTAAATTTTTCACATACAGGCAGTCTGCATAAAGCCCAATATCCTCAAAAAAGCCTTTATGGCCGGTGAACCATACCTGTAAGAGATTACGTGCATTGCAACGTGTATCATGTCACTAAAATGATATACAAAAACCAGTTCAAGACAGTTACTTTAGGAACAACCAAAAGATGTGAAGACAAGAAGCTGAGCAGGAGTATCAATGTGTCAAACTTTGAGCTAAAGCAAAAAGCAAAGTTTTTTTTTTTAATTTGCCAGGTATTCTTTTAATGACAAATATAAAAAGACTGAAAACATGTCATTCTGACTGCCTTTTTTTTTTTTTAAAACAAATGGTCTGTTTTTATAGTTACAGATACTGTGTAAGACAATACCTTCTTTGTACTGCAAAACCAACAAATACAAGGGTGCAATCAAGTTTCTAAGCATCTCTAAATTTGAAGCGTGAATTTTTTAATTCGGAAAGTCTTAATAATTGTTCATTTTTGTTAGAAGGTAACTCAAAGTACAACAACATCTAGACCTGTTTTTAAAGGAGCTTTCTTTCCTGATACATCTTTGATCATAATTACTCCTTTCGAGTTCAGTACATTCACAAAATAGCTCAATTAAGAACAGTATTACCAATGAATTGACTACTGGAAAGAGACAAAATTTACCAAACATACAGAAAGATAAGTTTTACCATAGCAATTATGCATATCAGAAGATGACACCTGTAATTAATTTTTAAAAGATACAAAAAAGAGAAAAACCTGAATTACAGAAAAGAAAGTCATATTTATTTAATGAAAAACTAGAAGTTAATAAAAATTAGCAAATACACAAAAAATATACACAAACAGCAGCAATACTATGTAGTGACTTACAAAGGGGAGGTGGGAGGAGGAGGGGAAGCAGCGGCCAGAGACCAGACCACTCAACATGGCTTGTCAGTCAAAGGGGGGAGGAAAAAAACACAAACAAAAACACGAAACAGTATCCTTTTCAACAGTACAATCAATCTACAAACAAGTTTTTAGAATTATTTTACAACATTTCCTGTAGAATCAATTCTTAATACAAAAGATGCCCATTTTGGGTGTATATATATTTTCAGTGGTTTACTGTTGACTTAAATATATTAGTGTTACTACATGCAACTGCTTCCTGTAATTTAACAGCCTTTCCTTTTATTTACCTTCATATATGTCTACCCTCCATCTACCAAATAATTTGTCTGACAGTCAAAGACGGTTACCCTAGTTTCTGCTAAATTAAATGCAATGGTTTTAAACACTGGCCTGAAGAGGTTTGATTGCCATTTCAACACATGGATATAGTTACATTGATGCCTAAATTGCCATTTTCTGCAAAGAGCTGTGCAATGCTGGTGTCAAAGACTAGACAGTCACTATTCATAATGGCTGTTGCAATTCCCTCATGAATAGATCGAGGAGTTGCTTCCCAAGTCAATCGCCGCCTATGCCCGTTTAACTCGAGTCGATAAGCAAAGTTTTCCGCTTGCTTGCGTGTTCCTATCAGCTGTACAATTGCAAAGAATTGCTGGTGACCATCATATTTTTCCTGTTTCTCCAAGACTAACATGAAATGAAAGCCAAAACAAGACTGCATCATAACCCAGTCAACAGCACCAGGAAGATTAATGTCTGTAGCAAGGAACACTATGTCTTCTCCCTGAAGTGTTGTAATTGACTTATGTTGATGCATCAGATGTGGCATTACAGCATCCAGAGAACCTTGCCATTTACATGAAGCACCGGGACATGGACAGGAGTAAGGCCTAAACTCACACAGCTCCTCGTGCTCTGCTTTTTCTGTGTGTGGCAAAGTTATCTCGCATCCGGAAGAGGCATATTTACACGGGAATAGTACAGAATTGGCAACCTTCTCCATCGCCAGGTTACGAATGGAGCCCAGTGGGCCTCGGCAAGTTGGACAGCATGTAAGTTTAGGGCGACAGTTGCTACAAACAAGATGGCCACTCTGACACTGAAGAATTGGTGGCAGCACATAGTCAAAACACACAGGACACTCAAAGAGACTAGCCAAGTCATTATTGGAAGCTGTAGTGCCAGTCAGTGCAGGCACCCTCTGCGATGGCGTACACTTTGAAGTACCTGTAGGTAGTGCTGTAGCAGTCTGACGGCTCATTTCTGTAACAGAAGAGAGAAAAAAGAATGAGGATCTAAACACATCTTCTTTTCCTCTGCATACAGTATTTTTGATTTACAAAGAAGCTTCAAGAGAGATACAAATGAAACCAAACATGCAACGCAAACTGTGGATACATTAACACGTAAGTATCAATTGTGCTGCATACCATACCGACACTTGTATGACACACAAATTTAACAAGTGAAGAAGTTCTGCTAATTATTCTGAAATGGAATTTACCTATTGGAAGCTGCAAAGGGGAGGAGTAAAGATATGCTAAAAATGTAACTGAAATCCTCAAAAGAAGTTTGTTGGGTTTTTTAACATTGCATTTACAAAATACTCCACCCAGCTCACTTGTGTGTAACAACTAGAAGCACTATGGAACGATTCTAAGGCTGAATTTTATATTGCTGTGTATTTAGTGAAATAAGAAACTAGTCATTTTTAATGAAAAAATGAACTTCCAGATATGACCTTCTCAGTAATCATGTTTACTACATAATTTTTCTAAAAAAATGAAAAACAGCAGCAAGGGAAAACAAAGCTAAGACCATCACCACACTGTTTTTTTCCTCGGATAGGATAGTGACTCTTCATTTTCATTACTCTGTTATACCAGGTCCTATAGCTTGTAAAGCGCATCCATTGCTTCAGCTTCCTGAACTAAACCATTTGTGAAAATACCAGAAAAGAAAAACAAAGCAATTATTTTACTGAATTTCCCAAATAAGACAAGAAATTCAAAAGATTAAATTTGAGAATTAATTTTAACATGGAAGTACTCAAACACTTCCAGTAACTGCAAAAGGCACTGTCGATGAAGTTTTACATTCAGTGGAGTTTACACTGAAGTTCTATTCTTTCAAATGTCCCCAGCCAGAAGTTAAGACCAAACAGCTTGCTCAAGCATTCAACAGATGCAGTAAAAGTACCACATTTCTTAACCTGTTATGGATGCTATGCTCTGTCCTGTGCCCCCTAACTCCTCCTTCTTGTGCAGAAGGAATTACTAGTACTACCAGAGAAAATAAACACTCCATTTTGAAAAAATAAACCTTACCTTTGTAGGTTAAGGAAAGTTAAGTAAAATGCTAGCTTGGCTTCCGTTACACAGTAAAATTCTCAACCACCTTAAGTGCCTCTCTGCAAGTACCCCCAGCTCTGTATCTGTCACATATGCATAAAGCTCTCAAAATAACACCTCATCTTTAATCTTCTTGCTATTTATTTAACATGGGAATATTAGGCAATAGGCAAGCTTCCCATATTTAGCATCATTTCACCCACAAACTTACTCATACTTGGACTAGATACCTCAAAGCAGCACACTGTGCATGCTTTTGCAAGACATACACTGTTTAGGGCATGAAGTGAAGGAACTAAGAGATTCCAACATGCAAAATAACTTATCCCTTGACATTCAAGAAGTAATCATAGAAGAATTTGAAACTGCCTACAGAAGCACCTCTCCCCAGTCCGGAGCTAGAAAACCATGGGTGTCTTAAGATTCGGTATTCAGTCACTGATTTTTACAAGTCTCACGTGCCCAATAACAGCATCATCTCACCCCTCCAAAGTCTCTTCCTTCATCTCAGGCTTGTTGGACTAGAAATATCCAGTTGTCATCTTTGGAAAAACCCATACAGTGGTTTTAAATGCTGAGCCTTAAGTAACACTGTAGAGATACGACAGGAATGTTTGTGTCGTTTGGCCTTATTTTCCTACTATAAGGCATTCCAGCTTCAATTAAATGTTTAAGCTATCTGTGAAAAATCAAATAGACGTTCTGGGGAAGTGATACCACACCAGCTTGTTGCGAGGGGATTAAAAAATGATAAAGCCTCTGTGGCAACTGAGCTCTGCTGCTATTTTTCCCAACACCGTAGGTGGGAGGCTCATGATGGCAGACTGCAGTTCTATGCTCTAGAACAAATGATACGCAGAGAATAATGATACACAGGAGAACAAATTCTGATCACGTTGTTTGCTCGGAAAGAGTTTAGAAATCACATGCATATTCATGTGTAAAATTCTAAGTGTTTACCTTCAAATACTGTAAACACACATTTCAGAAAAGTCTGTGTGTGCTTCATCTTACCTGAACCTCTACATCCTGATCCAGGGATCCCCAGTAACCCACAGATAACACTGGTGAAAACCACTGCGTTAGACCAGTTCCCTAGGCAGTCTGACAAGCTAGGTGAGCTCTAGTTTCTTTAATTACACCTCTCGGAGCCCGTTCAACATTAAATTAAGCAACCTACAAACTTTGCAGTAGCCCTTATGCACGGAGGTACTTCCCACTTAAGCCTTCTAAGCTATAGACCTACTAAAGAACCGAACCGTACAGCCCTGGTTTATCACCATTTCTGTATGTGACCAGCTTTCACACACACATGTTCTACAACCGAGGACCACCGAAATGAGCAGGGAATGAAAATGAGCAGGAATCTGTGAACGAGACCATTGAGATTAGCATTCAAGGAAGAAACTTAAGCTATAAACTGTAATTTACCAAGCCTAAACCTGTCCAAAGCCTACATTTTCATCACTCTTGTTAATGTAAAGATGAATAATAACACATAATGACAGAAAAGTCTGAGAAGGTAGTTTCTCATAGCTATCTTAAAAACTACAAGTCAATCACAATTAAAAATGTTAACAATGTAATACATTTAACCCACTGAACTATCAAAACCAGACAATTACAAACCAAGTAAACACAACTACAGAACTGGAAATAAAGTTTAAAGATATTTTTAGTTACAAAAACCTTACTACGGGTAAAAAAACCCTATATGCAATATTTGTTACTACCTTTGTTCCCACACACTGGGAATAAGCTTCTAAGCAACAAACTAAGGTACACTAGGTGTCACCTTCAAAAGTATTAGTACCTACCTCACAAATTACTCAAAACATTGTACAAATTTGAAAAAAGTGTAACCAACACAAAGAGTGAAAAGAGGAAAATGTATTTTGAGATTTCCTGGTTTCTAGACCAAGAAAAACTCTGTCCTTGATGACATCAGACAGAAGGCACCGACCTGTTAATGAAACTATTCTCAACACCGTTCTGGGGAAGGGTGAAATACACGGACTATCGAGATCTCCCGAGGGACACGATTTCACAGCTCCTACAAAACCAGCTTAAGACACTGCGCATAACGCGATTTAAGAGTCACTACCTTTCCCTTCGCTGGTTTTACTTCCCGGCAAGCACGCACACAACACTCCCTTGCACGAATACAGAAAGCTGGAGGCAGATCTCCCCGTCATGCGGAGTGAAGGAGCTCATTGCGTTTCCGCGCAGAAGAGACGGGCTCGGGGCCGCGGGCAGCCGGAGGAGGTGGAGCGGCCGGGGGG